TATATATATATATATATATAGTTTTCAGATCATATATTCAAATGAATATTGGGAAGAAATAATGTAATTTAATTATATCAAAGTTATATACTGATTCAAGGTGGATGTAGTTAGATCGAGGCCGAATAAATCTATGTGAATAAAAGAAAAAACAATTCCAAATTTGAATAGTGCCGAAACAAGCTATCGAAAAGGATTGATATGTATACTATACATATATATGATGTTGGTATGATATCTTAGAAGCCCTAAATTGTGTATGTACTTGCATATACATATATAACATTTTCTACGGGACGGGATTTTACATGCATTGAATTATTATTATTATTATTATTATTATAATGTAAATGAAGAATTCCTATGTTGAAAGTGGAATTGAATACTCAGTCGGTGCGTGCTGCATTAAAAGGTAGATTTACCTCTTTTCCTCGCTGATTCGTCGAACCTCAATGGGCATTAAAAGCACTTGTCGATTTTATTACTTTGCGTTATGGCTTTGGGTTTTGTCGTCTTATGGGGAAGGCCGATTCTTTCATGCATCATTGCATTGCATGCACACTTTTTATCCAACATTTTACAATTTTTTTAAATTTTTTAATACATTATGTTATGTTTATTATCCAAACTAATTTTGGAGTTGCACACCAACCATATATGATTTGGAATTATATATGCATGTTTGCCGAATTCGAGGTTCGAATTCGAATGGAACATAGTTCAAATTTGGGTCATGTTACGTTTATTACGTTCCACAAAAAAGGAATTCTTACATTTATAAACTTTAAGGGGAACATTTCACAATTCTTTTCTTTTTTGTTACCGAAGAAATGGGCTTAATCTTTGCGTAGTTGGGCCTAAAGTATTGGATATCAAAACTGTTATTGGGCCAATTTTAAAAGGCCCAAATTCCTTAATACTGAGATCATCCGGTCCATAATGTGTGTTTCCTATGCAGTGCCGGACCAAAAAAACATTTGTTCATAAAATTTGTATGTACCAATCTGTTTCCTCTACGTATCAGATCATTACAAAATTATTAACTGGAAAAAAAAAAGAGAAAAAAAAAACTAAAATCTGGCATTATCGAAGCCATGGAGGTCGCTGACTCTGTTCATATGCTTCCGCATGATCGCCACTTTAGCCAACCTCTCAGCCGCTCTCCACGCAGACGTCGGCGTAAGCGGCTCGGCCTTCCGCACCACCTGGTCCGAGCCCTTACACGCCACGTGTCTTCCCCTCACTCGTTTCAACTCTGCCAGCTCAGCATCTAGCTCGCGTAAGCACGCGTCATACGAGCTCACTCCGTACTGCGCCAGCTGGGCTCGAGCTGACATCAACATTCGACGAGCCTCCGCGTAGTCCTCGCGCGCCGCTAGCCTCCGAGACTCGGCCGCGGCTCGTCTGATGACGTGGATGTTTCTGAGCCGTGCGATGCTCGGGTTGGACGATCGAACGGCTAGAGTGCGTGGGATGAGAAGCTCTAGTTTTTCGGAGTTTATTATCTCCTGAGTTGTGGGGTCCACAAAACGAGTCCGTACGGTCATGGTCCTGTGGGGTCCGCCGGCCGTCGGCGATTTCATTTCCACCAGCACTTCTCTCTCCTCGTCGGCGTACATGTCACCCAATCGGGTCGACCCGGATCCGAGCCGACTAGGTAGATCGGACAGAGAATAAACGGACGTTATCTCTCCCTCAGAGGCCAACCCCAGCTCCATCGTCAGATTCTGGACGGACAAGCTCAACAGACCATTGACGCGCTTTGCGAGCGCGTCCTCAGGCCACGCGCAGACGCCGTCGAGACAGATCGTGTGCACAGGGATTTCTAAAGGAGAGAAGCGCGTGGACGAGACGACGAGACGGGGGAGGTTTTCGTAGATTTGGGCCTCATGGGCCTGGCCACTATGACGGCCCGTTAATACGAAGATGGAGGCGAAGAGGTTTTTCTGCCGCCGATCTTCGACGACCTTCGCCGCCTTCTTCAGCGCGTCGCTCACGCTCATCCCTTCGCCGGAGCTGCCGCCGGTTCCGGCTATGACTTCGACTATCCGCCTGGCCGATCTCCGGCCATTCGCCGTCATCCGCCGCAACGGGGACATCCTCTTCGAGCTCGACGAGAACGCGACGATCGACAAACGGTCAGTCTCTCGCAGACACGATATCACGACCCTCATGGCGCGCTTCAGCACCTCGATCTTGCCTCCAACTATGCTCCCGCTCATGTCGAGGACTGTCACCAAGTCCACTGGAGCTCTACGTGTCACCCCACGCGCCGCCGGAAACGGTGGCGACTTCACCTTCATCATCACCGAGAAAGTCTCGTAGCCCCTCGACGCCGCCACGATGGCTGCCTCCGGCGAAAGCGTTACGTCGACATTTCTGGAGGCGGGGTCCGTCAGCAACTTCGCCGTTAACGGTGACGCTGTGTTGAACTCGCCGTTCTGTTGCTCGTCGTCGTTGTCATTTTCATCGGATTCAGGTATGGGATTGAAACCAGAAAGCGAGATCGGCGAAGAAATCAAGGGCTCGTCGTCGTTGTAGACCCTCAACGACTTGTTCTTGGCCTGCGTCCTGGACTCGGATTCGGAGCCTGGTTTCGGGCAATTTGCAGAACCTAGTTCATGGAGAGAGACAGACAGAGAGAGAAGCGAGGAACGGCAGACAGGACACTCGGCGAGTGGTTTGGGGTTGCCGGCGCGTGAGGCCACGCACGGGAAGTGAAAAGAGTGCGAACACTCCGCCGTGAAAATCGCCGTCCCTTCCCCTGCCTTCACGCTCTGTGAGCAGATTCCGCATCTGTTGCTACTCTGCTGCAAAACCCAGACAGGAACGAACAAAAAGCAGAAAAACGTCAGCAATGGTTTCTCAAAGTTAAAAATCCAATCTTGTCACGATTCTTACTTTGACGAAGCCGAGTTTGGATTTGAGGCGTGAGAATCTCGCCGGAGAATTCGGCGAGGATGGGCTCGAAGAAAGGCCGAGGAGAGAGACAGGACTTCTGTACGGCGGCGGAGACGGAGTTGCGACGGCAGTGGCCGCCCTTGTACGGCAGCGGAGTCTAGAGCCGGAAACGGGTGGGGTCTCGGATTGGGGAGTGGAGGGGTTGGAGAAAAATCCGAATCGAGAAGTGGGTTTTGTCCGGTGCCGGTGATTATCCGGCGAATCACCTCCGGCTTCTCTCTCTTTAGGTAAAGAAGTGCAAAACGCTCTTCTCCAACCGTTCATCATTCTCTTCTTCTTCTTCTTCTTTATAAATTGAGGTTCTTTGAGAAACTGTGAGATTATATGAAATCGATGAAGAGAGAACAGATACTGCAGAGACAGGAGACAGAGAAAGATGGTGAGGTTCTATTTAAAAGATTGGTTATTGGGATTATCTACAATTTTAAAAAAAAAAGAATGATTATATAAAAAGTTATAATTTTTTTCGTGTTGAAAAAGTAATGTTTGCCCTAACGTTCTCATGTCACAATATCTTAGTGAGTAGCTTCTCGTATTCGTATATTATGAATTTTGATGATAAATAGTATTGTCAGCACATAGAATATTGTTATATTACGAAATACGAATTTGAAACCTTAGTGAAGAAATAAAAATAGAATAAAATTAAAACTGATATGAAACATGAATGGGTCGTCGTCGATCCCTAGGATCTTCTCCATAATACCAACGGCAGCAGCCATTGCAAATACCGTACTAAAGGTCGGTCCATTTGTATCCTTACCAATTTGATTTTTTTTTTATAATTGATGTATTTTACGACTTTGTTACAGCTTTTCGCGTAAATGCATGCACGTCTACGTTTATGGGTGTCTGTGTATAGAGTATATATATATATATATATATGTATGAAAAGATTCCGTATTTTTACGTTGGTTAAAAGTCATTTAACCGATATAATTCGGTTCGGTATAGTAAACCAAAAAGCGAACCGATGAATGTTGGTGCCACGTGTTACGTTTGATTTAAGAGATGGAAATATATTGTTTGGATTTAAGCGAATCATAAGGTTAGGATTAGTATTGTGTTTATTGTTTCCATGTATAAAGGTCCAAGGGATTACACACTGTTGTTATAGATAAAAGAAAACAAATGAAAATAAAATTTCCTTAATTAACTTTAATGAAAATAAAAAATTTGGAACAACCAATCATAGAACTTCGGCATTTTCGATGGAATTTAAAATGCGTAATTAACTTTAATGTTAGGATCAAGTAAAATCAGTACACACATAAGCAAAAGCGCACAAGCAAAAGAAGATCGCATCCCTATGCATATTTAAAATTTATTCTGAGGTTACGAATAACTAAATTTAAAAAGTAGCCCTAGACGTTGATTTAATATTAAGATTTTGCGAGATTAATACTCCATCCATTTCAAAATAAATATCGTTTAGATTTTATAACAATATTTTAAGAAATTAGAGAAAAAAACAAAAATATTTTTATTAATTCACATTATCATTAATATCCCATTAAAATTAAATATTTTAATTAAGTGTAAAACTAAAAATTTTATTAAAAAATCACCTAGAAAATCTAAAATGATACTCCATTCATTTCAATATAATTGTGGTTTTAGAATTTTTCACAGTTTTTAAAAAAAATTAAAAAAAAGTCATACATACCCTTATTAAATCATATTCACATTAATACTCTATTAAAGTTTGATATTTTTAATTAAGGATAAAATTGGAAGTTTTTATTAATAATTACCTTGAAAATCTAAAACGATAACTATTTAGAAATAAAAAATAATATCTAAAACGAAAAATATTTTGAAACGGATGAAGTATCTATTTAGTAACAACATAAATTTTCTAAAACGACATTTATTATGAAACGGGGTAATATACATAAATTTAAATTTGTTTTGGACATAACAAGTAATTTGGATGTAAAAAAGCATAGATAACGTATATTTAGATGATAACTTGAGTTGAAGAAATGTTTTGGGAGACACCATATGATGGTTGTGCCGATTTAGTCAAAACCCAATGTCGTGGTCCATATATATATATATATATATATATATATATATATATATATGAATCTATCAATTGTTGGATGTCATAAAATTGTATAAAAACTCCAATATTTTTAAATATTGGAGTATTTTAAAGCACGGTACTCAACATTTTGGGACTTTTTGCAAAAAAAAGGACCTGAATATAAGAAGTGTTATGGAGTTTATAATGGACCGTTTGAACGAAAATGAATATGGTGACAAATGGAGTGTAGATATAGAAAGCAACATCTAAACAGTTCATAGGCAGATTTATCCACTAGCTTCCACTTTCGCCAACTCTTTTCAAAAGACCAATAATTCAATCAAATGAATCTTATTCCCATTTCGACCTCTACGATATAGGACAAAACCATACACTTAATAATGTATCTCATAGAAACCTATGAGTAGAAATCTACAATATAATTTCAATTATATTTTGTTTTATTTGTTTTTTTTGTATCTATGAAGTTTTTCATCATTTTGTTTTATCTTCAAGATTGATTTTGAATTTTGAGGGAAATGTCAAAATAGAAACGAAAATAATAGAATAAATGGTCCTCAAACATATGTTTGCATAGTTTTCGTCCAACTCCGAAGGATATAGACACAACCTTCCATTGGGACCAAATTTTTCGCATCCACTAAGAACGAATCGTAAAAGATATGCACGAACCCATTATAACACTAACGTTTTATTTTATTTCGACCCGTGAATTCAAATTAAATTATTTAAAAAATAAAAGGGTATTGTTCATGTACCTTTTTTCTTCCAAAAGATATGAAATATATGTTTGTGTGAAATGACTGACAAGCACTTGCGAGACATTATAGAGTGCGTGGTTATAATGTTACGTTGAATAATTGAGCTTAAACTATAAAGAAACAAACCAATGATGAACTCTTTTTCAATTTAAACATCATCCAATTACTCTGAATTGCTAAATGTGTGCCAAGCACTACTCTATGACCAAATGGCCCTTTGATTTGACTCTTTCACATTCTTGTCGGAACTTGAGATTTTATCCGTTTCTATATATGAAATATTTGGTAATTTTTGAATTTTTTTTTTAAATTAAACGTGAATATTATTTCATTTTAATCATATGAACATGGATAAGATGAGACAAGGAGGCATTATGGTGAAAACATAAGTGGTGGTGTGTCGAAATCTTTGACATTTACCTACTTAGCGAGGATTATGAATAATTTATTTATAAGGAAATAAATACTGAAATTAAATACTTAAAATCTCTTAATCTATTATAAACGAGTTTACATAATGATAAAATCTACATATTTTTATATTTTCTATTTGGTTTGATTTTTATAATAAAATATATATTTTTTAAAAAAATTAAAATCGTAAAAAATTACTTGAACCGATTCAATGATGAATAGTAAAAACAATAATTACCCTATAATTTATCATAACATTTAGACTCAATTAAATCCTAATCTTCTCATAAAAAGGCATTGGAGAAAGAAACTTTATAGATTGGTCTTATAAAAGCTAAATCCACATTCTATTTTATTTTATTTTAAATAAAAAGAAACCATAATTGGAGGTGCACTTTCGATAGAAAAAAAATCCACTTTTATGTTTACTAATTATCACATTGACAACACTTTTTTCCCCTCTATCAAGCACCTGCTTTCTAAACATTGAATAATATAAAACATTAAAATAGTTTTGGTTCGTTATATCGACAACGACAAGTATATCATATGAAACATATATATACATATATATACGGTCTTGCATAAGATTGCAAGCAAAACTAATGAAAACGTTTATAACCCAAAAGCCGCAAAAAAACACATTAAGAGCATGTCTTGGTTCTTCGGACAAGTAGAGACCGACGACTCTTACAACACACTTTTTTTTTTTTGTAATAACTTGCGAGCAAATAATATTTCATAATAGAGTTTTGAAGGGAACGTAACTGGACAATGAACTGTGCAGAGCCAAATCTGAGGAACTTGCATTGTCTTTGTTTCTTACCCAAAGCAGCAGATGAGAGAGAGTTCTTAATCAGATCTTGTTCTTCGATTTCTCCATGGCCCTCGGAGCTGCGGTAACACGAAAGAAAAAGGGTCGTCGAGAAATGAGGAAAGGGCACAAATTTCTGAAATCCCGACGTACTAGAGAGAGTAGAGTATATTTATAATCGCGGGTTATTGATATATGAAATGGACCTGTCTGACGGTATATACAAGAGGAGTTTGGTATGTAAATAATGGCACATACCTAAGCCAATGGCATCCGAGCCCTTCATGATCTTCAGTTTGCAGCATGTATCGATAAACATCCTGCAATGGAGTGAACATAGTGTCAGCATTGAAGGAAAATACCGAGCGGAAGAGGTACTTACCCCCCCCGGAAAAAGACTAAAATACTTAAGCTTGCCCGAATCACAACACGAATGAAAGAAAATGCACTCTAAGGTGAGCTTAATTTCAGCAAAATGATTCAACAAAACCCATCAAATTATTACCAAGCTTGGTTATCTGTCAACATATTTCCAAAAGGAGAGGTCATAAAGCAAAACGCCGAAACATAAGCTGAGTGCAAAGAAGCTTACTCCCATGGGACATCTCCAACAAGCATCCAGTCACCATCTTTATCCTCATAAGTAAGAACATATTCTGATCCATGGAGAAGATCCTTCAACTTGATCTCGCTCAACCTTTCCCTCCCTTGGATTCCATGAGTTCCACATTGACCTGCGAAAGACGATAAACCAAGATGAATCACCACACGTTTTCTTGACCAACAGACCGGACAAGGAACTGTTTCCATGCATATAAAAAATGATAAAAATCTCACCAAGTGTGAAGCAGCTGAACATTTTCTCTAGTGCTGAGGACAACTCTTTGTAGCAAGTGTATGTTCTCAAGTCGACCTTTCTCAGATAAGGAGCACCATCCATGCTGACCTTCACGAAAAGAGCACCGGCAGCTTCATCATTGTTCTTTGAAGTAGTGGCCAGTGTGTTCTTTCTGTACGATCTGATGGGAGGCCATCCAACAACTTGTGCCCTGCAAGCAAATCGTAGAGAATGATAACTGATTATTGAAGAATTCTGTTGAATCATAAACAAGATATACGCTGTCACAGGTAATATTTTTACAGACTTGGCAGCCGGTGCATTGTTGTTGTTGTTAGAGTCACCAACTTGGCATGCCCTGGTTTTAGGATTGGACCGTTCTTCTTGGACGGTTTTTGTGACATCCTTCTTGGTGGCAGGCTGAATCCCACTAATCTTGGACGACAGCATCATGTTGATGCCAGTCTTATCAGCAAAGGTTCCTTGTCTAGCAGACTGCGGAGTCTCGGGATTTGATTCCGACTCATTGAGTGTCCAAGTTTTCTCAGGATAGACAGACCCTTTCACCACCGAAAACTCGTCCAACGTGTCAGAGAATCCTCTTTTGTTACCGGAAACAACGTTTTTGTGCACTATGGCAGGGTCTTTTGAAGCGGACAATGGGAAAAGCAGTTTTTCATCTGGTGTTCTTGGGTTGAGCAAGGCAAAGTTAGATTCTCTTTCCGGAGATTGCAATCCAGGAAGACCAAGCCTCAGTTCTGTAGCCTTGAAATTGAGATTGCCCTTTCCCTCATTATCTGGAACGCTGCAGAGAGTTGAGCTGTCAACAGACCGAACCAAATAGTTATGTTCTTTCAAACCAAAGGCATACTGATGGACATGGTTGTCTTGTGAAGGAACCACTTCCTTTTCCACAGTAAGCAGTGGTGGAGCCATCAGATCTCAGTCCCTCCAACACTTAACTTAACCCACTTGTTTATCTGCACAAAGCGCAATACTTTCTAGACATGCATCAACAAAATTCTCAACAACATTCACTGAAAACATAAGGAGAACGGTCGCACCAAATTTTCAACATCCACACCCAATCAGACAATACAATGCTTATCCAAATATATCCAATCTTTGTTCCTCCAACACTCAACTCCATGAGTTACTTCATCATAGATACAACACCAAGGCCGGCGAGGTAAATAAGTTTGTGGACAATTAAATAAACCATTGATTCAGTAAATAAAGTGAAAACCAGTACAAATTAGGGTTTTGCAGCGAGAAAGAAGATGGCTTTTGAATAGTTGCTAGCATTTCGCCTAAAATTTCTTAGAAAGGAGCAATTTTTAGAAGATTTCCAACTGTATTTTAATAGTCCTAATCCAGATTTTCATTTCCACGAGTGATCTTTCCCACCTTTTTCCACTTTCTGCGAGGCAGAAAGCACAGAAGAACGATCCTTTTGCTAAAGAATCGACCCCATTTTCTTTCGCATTTTCTGGGAAGCCAAACAGGTTTAACTCAACAGCTAAAGCAAATGGGAGAAACCACCAGTACTCGGACCAAAAAGTAGGGCAAAACAAGGCCAGATTGAAGATTGTAGAATAAGAATCGACAAAAGCGTACAAAAACCTCGTACCTGGAAAGAGAGATGAACAGCAGAGGATTAAACCGGTGACAGAGACTGTGTAACGAATGAGACAGGAGAGAGAGAGAGAGAGAGAGAGCTCAAGGTCCTTCCATGAAGCAAGAAGCAAACAAAAGCACAATCGCCGAGAAGAAGAGAGAAGAAAAAACATCCGCAGAATCTGTGGAAGATATTGGGGGAAGAAGAGAGGGAATGAGTGGCAATTACGAGATTAAACGGAAAAGCTTGGGCTTTTGGGGCCACCAAGAGAGAGAGATAATTGATCGAACGGTGGAGAGCGAGCGGGTGAGAGAGAATCTGGATCGTTGGATCAGTTAAATAAATAATAAAATACATGTCGTTGTTACAGGTAACATGGTTTCAGGTTTCCGGTCTGGGACGAAGCTAAAAGAGGGGGAGTTTTTCCGAAACGTCTGAAATGACTGTTTTGTCCTTGCTTCCTTTGTGTATTGTCCGAAAATAACATCCTGTCTATGTTTCTTTTTTTTTAATATTTTATTCATGATGGAACATTCCCTGAACGAAAATATTTTTATTTAATTTTATTTTGGATAATGATAAATTTTATTGAATTTACAATCTATATTCACATTTATTTGCGTTCGAAATTATAATTCATAATATGGTTTTAAAAATGGTTAGAGATGAGGAAAAAAAATGGGGACAAAGAGGAAAACGGGGGAGAGAGAAATGCGTTCTGGGGGGGTGGGGGGACAGGAAAGCGGCATTTCAACTTGATTTGCCGGCTTTGTACTTTTTCTTCTCCTTTTTTATAGTTTTCACCCTAATGTTTCTATGTATTTCATATCCACCCCCATAGTTTGTTTCTATTCACCTGTAGTATTGATCTCATCCAAAATCTCCTAGATTAATTATAAAATTTATTCTGATATATCTTTGGATACAAATTTAAAATGATATGATTGAAGATGGAAAAGAAGAACATAAACATTTATGAAATAAAGGAAACGGTTTTTGCATCTATGAATTTACTCCTCTTTTTTTTTCAAACTATGATCTAAGTTTTGATCATTTAAAACAAAAATCTTCATTTTTTTTCTGCAAAAGAAAAAGATGTGATTTCTTTGCCCCCCGCGAGGGTTAGAGAATGATGAACAAATGGACACGCGGAAGCACGCCTAAGGCTAAAACATGAGCAAGGTGCAGAATTTTGTACAATTACTAAAACATCATATCAAAAATTTTAAAAATAAACATAATTTGAAGTGTGAATAATAGATTCAAATATATTAAAAATATTCCCGTGAAAGAATTATAATTATTGGTAATTAATAGCGGAATAAAAGTAGGGATTAAGAAAGACGTATACGAGTCATCAGTGTATATTATAAAATATATAAAATGCTAAATACGGACAACTTTTTCCTTGCACCCTCAGATTTTTGTTGCGACGACACTGGGACCCACTATGGAATAAGCGTCCGATTTTGCCGGCGACCTTTATTTTTTTAAGTTATGATTAATTGTGTTTAATCAAAAATTAATCAAGATTAAAGCGACATTAGTGAATCACAGCCGTAGGATTAAGAAAAAACGAACGTATAATCGACACGTGTCCACGTTTATCCCGCAGACTCCACCACCAACCAGCACGTGGCTAAGGAAAAGGCAATGGCGTCAAACGTTGAGAGTCAATCCTGTGCATGCGGCCATATGGAAACACGTGCGGTATTCGATGTGAACCGTACACGTGGCGCTATCTTGAGGGGCCTCATGTGGGCTCCTACATCTACATTTTCAACACAGTGCCCACTCGAGTACGAATAGCCCAATCTGATGTCAGAATTTTTTTTTCATATTAAAATTTTAATGGGCCGAACTAATAAGATAATGGGCCTAGGCCCATCATCTTAGACTATTAAAGGTTTAGTTATAAGACCCAAACATGGTAGAATCAAAAGAAACACAGATGCTACAAAATCTTTTTTAACAATGTTGTGTTTCATCCACTGGTTCTCAGTTCACAAGCTCTTGAGATGTGTCATGATCTTCTTCCTTCTTGGATTGCCCATCAGTGACAAACGTTTTCCTGTCCAAATACTCAGCCTCGATCGTGTCCTTGAGGATGAAAAGTCTCTGTATAACCATTGGCTGGCCCATCTGCTTGGCTTCTCTTATGTCAGTTTCTTCTTTGTTGAGATGATAAGCATCGAGCATGATCTTTATCCACTTATGAAGCTCCTTTGGCGTCCTGCTTAATCCAAAATTCACCCCCATCATTAGCTTTCTTGCAAGCTTGAAACTTTTACAGATGGTGTTCTTTGAAAGTTTAAAGCTGTTGATAGAGTCAAGAAGAAGGTCGGGCCTCGGGATTTTTTTTTCCCTACGTGAATAAAGCTTTCGGGTCCTTGACTTCGTGTTCGTCGCCGGGGGAGAAAGCTGTTGCCAGAGCCGAGAAGCGTTCTTCCGGGTCTGTGATGTTGAGCAAGTACTTGACAAGTTTGATTTCTTTCGGGGCAATGCTCCTTAGACTGCTCTTTGTAGCTTTGTATAAACTATACATTATGTCTTTGGTCTGTCAATGGTAACACAGGTTGCAAGTCAAGGGACCATTCAGACAGACACCACACAAAAAAAAAACAGAGCCAAAACGTTTTAATGGAGAAGAACATGAAGGCAAAAGGAGGAAGATTCTGCAGAATTCGGTTTTTGCCATGAGGAAAAGATTGCAGAGATCAGAAGATTTTGGGGTCATACCTCATTTTTCATGGTTTGGGACTCTTTAGCAGCAGCCCAAGCACTGTTTATCAACAAGATCAATGAGGAGTCTAGTTCCTTTGCCTTGGCGAGGCTTCTGATCTTATCACAAGCAACGTCTATCGAAGGGGAGTTTAAAATATCGTCAAACTTTGCCTGGGCAGAATCTAATGTCTCAAAGTTCTCCAGGGTTTTGTCATAAGCATTCACCGCGGATAAGCATCTAGCTGCAAGCCTTGCCACCGCTGCATCAATGAATGGAAATCGATCAGAAGGAGAATACAAAACTGAGAATTCGATGAACCAGGCAAAGGAAGGTTTCTGGAACAGGAAGATCGTAGGGCATTTACCGTCTCTGTCTTCTAACCCATCAAGTGTTTCTGAAAGTAGAGTGACATAACGGAAGAATTCTCCCGTGAAATCTCTACGCCTCCTAGCGACAATGGCATTTATGTCGGTAGGGTTATCTTGAATCTCCTTCAGAAGGTCATTGTGCTTCTCCATTTCCTCATCTATCTGCAATACTCATTCCTGAGTTCACCAGAACCAAATGCAATAGCTCTAAACCAGCATATCCCGTTATCTCACAGAGCTCTACTGCTCGATATAATAACATAAAGGAAAACACCACCACAATTCCATGCTAGATCCCTCAGTTCTAAGAATCTCAAACAAAAATCATGAGCTTGGAAGGATCTCAGATGAATAATCTTAATACTCTTTATTCCCAAGATTCCAAACAAAAGCGCGGTGAAGGAAAAGCTCAAAGCACTATAACACAACACAAGAAGCAGAATTTTCTTACCTTCTTTACTTTGCTTTCCAGAGAAATCAGCTTCTGCTTCATCGTTGGATCGGTTTCCAAATCAGCCCGGATTCTGCATCGCTTGTAGAAGTTTACACTGTACCTGTTCCATTCATCTCTCAAAACCAAGTACTTCCTCCAATCTTTAACCCTAGGCTTCTCATTCAAGAAAACATCAATGATCTTGTCACAAAACTGAGCCATTGTATAACCTTCTGCAACCTCCACATCCATCGGATCCTCAACTTGAACATCAACGTAGTTTTGTCGTGTTTCCGTACCTGAACAACATCATAAATCAACAACCCTTTTGAATCATAGCCCCAGAAAATCAACCCAGTAAACTAGCATTACCCTCCTTCACTTTCTATGCAAATTTCATCAGAGGTTTTAGGTTTCTAGATAAACCCCATAAACATTGACGGGTAATTTTAGTGACCCTCGGTTAAAGACGCGAGCTTTGACCCAAACGAAACCTAAAAGGAAAGAATTTTCTCAGAAACCAAACAGAAGATAGAAGATTGGGGGGAGGGGGGATACCAGAAGCGACAGTTTCAGCGGCGGAGCTAATACTTCTCGTTCTGCTCGTCCTTCTTCCTCCATTGATAAAAACAGGAAAGGAGAGAAGAAAGAATTGGGGGGTTTTGGCCGGAGATAACACTAGTTTATCAGCGAAAGAGATGAAGATGGATTTTTCCAGTGAATTCGCCATTTCCGGCACCTGATCTATGTGTTCAGTTCTTCTCGGCGACAACGATAAACGCTTTGAGGATAAAAAAGATAAGAGGATAGAAAACAAATATCTCAACCTTTTTTTTTATTTTTTAAATAATTTCAGCTATTGAAAACTAATTTACATTATAATCTAATAATTTCGTTTCTAAATCTAAATGTCTGGAAAAAAAATCTTTTGTAATATTTGTAGATGACCCCAGCAAAAAAAAAATATAATTTACGTTAATATAAGGTTAAATGTTTCCACCATTTATTGAAATATAAATACAGGAAAATACATTTAGTTGCCTCGGCTAATATCAATAGCTCTTGGCACTCCACTATGAGGTAGAAGAAGAAGTGAAGTCAAGAATCACAAAATGAAACTGGGAAATGATACAGAGATTTATGAATGATTTTAACAGTTGGATTACAATCAGTACCAGCACCAGCAACAAGAGCAAGAATCATTCTCACTTGCAAAAGCAAAGATGATGATGATGATGGTCCTTGACTACATACAAAGAAGCTTACTATGATCCAGAACAAAAATGAGAGTTCAGTTCAAGTAGAGAAAAGAGAAGGGTTGGCGGTTGCAGTCCCGACTTGAACCTCCAGCATCTCCAGCCGCCGTTCCAGCAGATCCAGCTTCTCGTTCAACGTCCCCAACTTGCTTCTCGTCGTGGCCTCTGACCACAAACATAAACAAACACTAATACGACACATATCGATGGAGAATCACGGCCAAAGTTTGATGCAGAATGGCACGGTTGAAGGTTGATGAGGATATTTGGTAATAAAGATTGATAAAAACAATTGCTTTGCCTTTTCTGTGGGGGGATTCAGACAAGGAGTTGGCCAGAAAGTAGATGGTGTTGCAGAGGGAAAAGATCAATCTATTGCAGTTGACCCACCATGAACTCTTTAACTGAAGAGATGGATATACTAACAATTGATCACAAGAAGATCAATCCAGGCAAACTAACTTCGGGTATTGCATCGAAGTAGGACCGAATTCGAGGTAAATTACCAGTACTGAGTTCATATCAGAAACTAAGGAAGATATCGAAATGGAATAGGAATCAATCAGGCATAGCTCACAGCCGAAGCAATGAATCAGCTGCAGATGCAAATTTGCAAAATAATCCCCACTAAAAACTGGAACTTTATCTGCCAAATGCCATGAAACCCCACGAGACAAAGCATCATGAATCGGAATTAATCTCCCAGATGTGCAAACCCTTCTCTGCAAAACCCTAAAAGTTCCTAAATTTAGCCAAAAACAGCAAAGCCGATCAAACCGCAAGCAACTCGTAAATTTTCAGCAACCGGGCAAAAAATTCCGCCGGCAATTCCGACACTAAATCACAAAACATCAACTGACGAAACGAAGGGAACAAGCAAAACAGTGAGAACGTACCAAATTGGACGAGGAATTCGAAGAGACGGCGGACGTTGAGAGAGATGTGGGAGATGAACTCACGATTCTCCCAATCGGCTTGAACAGCGATCCCAACGTTAACGGCGTTAGTGATCCCCCCAGCTTTCGCCATTACTCCCCAAAGCTCAATCGTTCTCCCCCCCAAAAAGATTTACCAAAATTTTTTTACAAAAAGGGCAGATGGAGAGAGAATTTATACACAGATTTCAGACCCCGCAGCCTTTCCTTTTTCTCACCCTTTTCGATTCGTTTTTCCACCTGCAAAATATGATTGGGCGATCGATAAACGGATGAAGGGTCTCCTCCTTTTCCTTTGTTACTTCTGAAATCTTCTTGCTTTTCTGCAGGTGCTGTGATGATTGCCACTGCCGAACCGAAGGAGGTGAGAGGAGGAGAGAGATTCTAAAGATACGGGGTTTTTATAGAAAAAACAAAAAAATAAGGGGCTAAATTTTAATTTCTGATAGTTATGAGGCTCTCGCTCATTCGGTGGGACGGCTGGTGCCCGTTGAAATTGTAATTTTTTTTAGTTGGCTTATTTATTTTTTCCTTATTGTAGATTGCCTCAGGGAGATGAAATGTCACTCTCAAAATCTCATCTCAAGCGACAACTAGAAACCATTATTGCCCTGACAGGAGCATTAAGTCCTTACTGTTTTCGTGTAAGTAAAAAAAAGGTTACATCTTTATATACATTCCGTGGAAATTCAGGTATCAGACAATATTATATATATATATATATATATATAATGCCAATTCCCCTGTTTCAGACATAAACACGCAGCTGTATTAGTTCTTGTACTTCATTGTTTCCTTTTCGAATCCAATGGTTGGGAACTGCTTTGCATATTCCTCCACTTCATCCCGCAGTTTCTTGATCTCTGATTCAAAAGATTGCATCTTTGACACGAAATCCTTCAGCTTGTTTCCTGTGTTTCACAAAGAACGAATGCCCATTTTTAGATATATGCGTTTGAGAATGCCTCGTGTGGTCGATCAGGTCGAAAAGAACAGAAGAAAAAAACAACCTTGAGTCTCGGCCTTGATTTTCAGCGCCAAGCTCACAGCTTTGTCAAAGAACTCGGCCACCTTGGCAAAGTCCTCCTCCACGAAGCCTCGGGAAGTGAGAGCCGGAGTACCTGCGGTGAAATTCGGAAAATATCGACAGATCATTCTTGCACAAATACTCGACGAAAAAGGGTATTTTGGTCTTTACCCATTCTGATGCCACCCGGAACCATGGCTGAGACATCTCCGGGAACAGTGTTCTTGTTTGCTGCAATGTGAACAGCTTCCAACACCTTCTCCACTCTTGATCCATCAATACCCTGTCGAAAAGATGCGTTTTTTTTTTCAGGAAATACTAGAACCAGCCAGTTCTCTTTATTAAATCCGTAGTTATGTCATTGTAGAATGAAAAAATCCATGGTGATTTTAGTAGGAAGATGAAAAAAGGATGGATCTTTTGCAACAGGAAAGATACACCTTATGAAGGGTCACCATATTTCTTGTAAACAGAACAAACTAGAAGATGGTATAAGGAATATGCAAAGTTCAAGTCACCTTGTTCTTCAAGTTCACCAGAACCAGATGGTTGTCGGTCCCACCAGAGACGAGGTCATATCCTTTCTTTTCCAGAGTCTGCACTCAATAGATAAGCTCTTAGAGAGAACTGAAATAAGCATCAGAGGCTTCTTTTGCATGCTTCATACCTGAGCAAATTTTGCACAGTTACTCAGGACTTGCTCTTGGTATGCTCTGTATTCCGGAGTAGTCGCCTGCGTTAACATCCACTGGACTTTTAGGAAATGCAAGAAATGATCTTCGAGCACACTCATCATGTGAAATGAGATGATATTTGAGGGGCCACAAACCGAAGTAATTCCTCATTTCCCTTATCTTTCCCGTTCACAATGTAGGCCGAATGTAAAAAATGAAACGGACAATACCCTTTTCCCGATTAGTAAATGCTCAGTCCATTGAATGTGCAAGCACAAGTAATGAAAGAGATTGTTGCAAAATTTCAGAGGCGAACCTGCTTTAAAGCAACAGCCAATCCTGTAATAGTGTGGTTATGCGGACCGCCTTGAAGACCAGGGAAGACGGCCTGATTGATCTTGTCTTCATAATCATACAATACCTTCAAAGGAGAGTAACAAAACCATGCGAGTGATTCAACCGAGCAGCCAATCCCATATTTTCATCATGAAATGAAACAATTAAAGAGATGGAAAATTAAGAGACAGCATCAGTTCATAGAAAATCATACCTCTTTCCCTTGTTTGATAATTTCCTTACACCCATTTCTGAAGAA